CCAATTACCAAATTATAAAAATAGGTTTTTGAAAAAAAAAAAAAATTGTAGATAGAACAAGATAATACTGAGGAGACGGTATGGTGTACCTGGAAAAGTTTTTAAAATTATCAAATCATTTATTTCTAACCGTTTTATTAGAGTCTTCTCTCAAGGCCAACACTCTTTTTTATTTCCAGTAACCACTGTAGTACCTCAGAGGTTGTACTTGAGGTATTCTAGAGAAAATCTTATGTCTAAAATAGCGACTCAACTTTGTACTCCTAGGTTTGCTTAGAACAAGCAGCCGATCTTAAATCTGATCTCACAGATTTAAAATTGGCCAACAGATTAAGATTATGTAATTTATTAGGGTTTGCAGTGATTGGCCAACAGATTAAGATTATGTAATTTATTAGGGTTTGCAGTGATTGGCCAACAGATTAAGATTATGTAATTTATTGGGGTTTGCAGTGATTGGCCAACAGATTAAGATTATGTAATTTATTGGGGTTTGCAGTGGTTTGTAAATTTTATTTTCTAAAAAACTCAGATATTTACTGCAAACAACTATCGAAATACTGTCGACATTTCTATATTTATAAATGGCAACCCTCTGAGTTAATGAGTATTATTCTTTACGTGTTCTTGGATTATCGTTTACTACTGACCTCTTACGGAAACCATATGTATGATCGATTGCGAAGTTACCGTCTGCTTTTTTTTTATTAAGCTAGCCAATTTCTTGCTCCTGATTCTATTCTCTACCTCTATGAATCACTTTTATCAGCCCTGTACAAAAAAAAATTAAAGCAAATGCAGGAATTAAGTTTTCTACGAAATCTGGAAAGTATATAAAAAACCATAAAAAAAGGCTTTGTAGATGTATCCGAAAAATTATGAAGAAGAATGTCAAAAAATGAGTAAAAATCTTATGAAATGTGGAAAAAATCTAAAAAATGAAAAAAAAAATGAAAAAAACAGAGTTATGTATTGCATTGGCTTTGCGCAATGACAAAACAAGTTATATACAAAACTTATTCATATGATCAAACCGATTTTGTTAAAATGCTAGAATAGATCATAAAAATTAAATTATTTAGAGTTGTAAAACAATTCCTTAAAAAAATAGGAACGTTGTTGGTAAAACATAAACATTGAAGCGATAGATTAAAAAATACATACCAAAAAAAGTTAAAGAAAAAAACAAGGTAAAGTGCTCTAAAGATTTGTACAGTTTGTAAAAAATGGTTTACAAGAGATGTAATAGTATATTATGTGATGTTAATACTATTGGTTATGCTATTGTTATTGTCAATAACAACAAACTAAAAAAACTTCAATGAAAAATAACTAACGACAGATAGATTCTCTTACAGTGTAGCTTCCACAAAATTCACGGTATTATTGCCAGTTACTCTTATTTTTGACACACAGATGGCATGCAATACAAAATTTATTGTCACATTCTATGATTATATACAATTAAAATTTTTTAGACATAAAATTCAAATCATTCAAAGTACTTAAACCGATTCACCCCGTGTTCAGAAACGATTCGCATTACCGTGTCGAGCAAAATAACACGCATTTTTTTAAGTCTTACGTTACTTACTAATTCAGATAAAAATTCAACGAATGGTGAATTCAAGATATAGGGGCCGTCCATAAAGGACGTCATCTAAATAGGAGGGGGGAGGGGGTCAAGTTAAAAAGGAAAAAAAAGTTCAAGGGGAGGGGGAGGTTGTCAGAAAAAGACGTCACTTTAAAGATTTTTTATTTTCGTTTAATTAACATGGAAAACTACGTAAACATGTGCTTTTGAAAAAATAATGTATTAGAATATTTTTAATTTTATTTTTCAAAGGTGTAGCAGCAGATTAAAACATCGTTGCAAGATGAAATAAATTTTTTTGGAGTTAAAAATAGGGAGGAAGGTCAGGATTTTAAGACGTCCTATTCCAGGGGGTATAGGGAAAAAGGACAACTGGTGACAAAGGAAGGGGGGGAAGGGTTCAAAAATTGGTTAAAAAATGGTGACGCCCTTTATGGATGGCCCCATATGAGCCGACCGTAGAAAAAAATGAATTATAAAAACAAACCATAATGGCTGCCACAATTTTAGTATTAACTGAACAGCATTTTTTATATACAGAGCTTCCACAAAGTATTAGCGCACTCATATTTGTTTTACCTCAGTGAACTTCAATTGAGCCTATTTTGAAAACAATAAAGGCGGATTGATCTTTTTTTTTTAACTTATTCAGCAACAATTAGTAAATCTGCTTTATTAAAATAAAGCAGATTTACTAATTGGTAAATACATAACAGTATTTGTTTATTATTATCTTGAACTTAATTAGAATACAATAAGAATAATAATAAAACAATATTATTGATCGGCTAACTTGATATGCACCCAACGCTGTATTCAAGTCTGGGGCGATTTCGGCTATGCTCATGTTCGGGTTGCGTCTAGCGAGCAAACTGCTTTATTTTTGTCCCTTTCTGACATTTTTTTGGAAAGACCAGAGCAACTTTTGTGTTTGTCTGTTCCAAACTTAATATAGTTTTTGAGTTTTTGAGCGTTGTTCTAACGCTGCATTTACTGATTTAAAGTTGACGTCCGATTCTCGATTGCTGAGACTACTTTGCAGGTCAACAACTTGCCACTTTGTTTTAATTGATATGCTCTTTAAACCCATAATTTCGTCAGTGCAGTTATAAAGTTTTAACAAAATGTATTTTAAATGATAATTCCTACACTTTATGGTTCTTACAATTTTTATTGACTATTATTAATCAGCAGAGAGTAGTTAACAAGAATTATTCAAAAGAGTTTTTCTCAAAGGAATTAAACGAGCATGCTACTACATTTTAAATGAGCGCGCTAATACCTTTGCACGCTTAACTTCAGACATTTTTCCGAGTAGTCATTAAACTTCTAATTAACTCGTTAAAAAAAAGCAGGTTGACAAATATTTGACATTATAAATAAATTTAATTGGTTTTACCTTTCATTTAAAAAAAAACTAGTTCAAAATAAGAATTACTTTACAACTTATATTGATTTGAAGTTGTCTATAACAAAATAATTACGAGTGCGCGATACCTTGTAAAGTATTAGCGCACTCGTAATTTTATTGTAAAGTATTATAAATATGTTAGTATTAATCACAACGAAAAAAAGGATTGTTGATATCGGTTAAAACCAATTTAAGCAAGTTTTCACAAAACTAATTTAAATTAATCACAACGAAAAAAAGTTTTCACAAAACTCCTCCTAGCGCTCCAAACTTTTTTTGAATTTTTTTTAAACTGTAAGCGACAAAAAAAAAAAAAAATGCTTCTCAAAAAATTTCAGATCATTCCGACAAATACTGTTAGTACCTCATAAATGCCAGCTTCTTAAAAACATCTCGCGCAGATTGTGTGCGACATGGGGTTAAATATAAATTGGGTAAAAACTGCTGGTTTTTCAATGCTTTTATTCCGTAATTTATTTGGCATTTCGGCATTTCAACTTTTCAGAATTCGGCGCTTTAGGAACTCTTCGGAAATCATAATTGAAATCTGCAACTTACAATTAAGGTGAAAGAAATATATAAACACGCAAGGTTTTTGTGCAGTAAAAGCAGTTTTTTATATGACCTAAATTTCACAATCTTTCCATTATACAAAATATCTTGTTTTGGTTTGCTAATTTTTGCTTTTGCTGTTTTTTACAATTATTTTAAGTTAGCTTATGACTCATAGTTTAATTACTAATCTTTTAAGATCAACACCAGATACTTTTGAACATAAGAGAAGCCTAGATTCGTATCCAGGTTGTATTTGTTATTCTTTGATGGGTCTACATACCACTAATATTTTTTGAACTTTATTTATTTTTGGTTTAATTTTTACTAAATATTGATATTTTACATTTTATCTTTATTAATTTCTGGTTAACGGATTAACAAGAGTAACCAAACCATTAAGAAGGCTTTTTTTTTAGGTGCCCCAAAAAGTCCTTACGGTCTTATCACAGAGCACCACGAAATAGCATTTAATAGGAAGTTCGCGCCTTCTTTCCTACCGACGTTGCATAACTTGCCCAGAGGTGGAGTTTGAACCAAGGATCTTACGTTTCTGAGGCTAGTGCGCTACCACAGCGCCACGGCTGCTCAATTATTTACTAATAGGGAGCGGATTACATCAATCAGATTTTCACCTAGACAAGGATCAAGGTAGAAGCTGCTTTTATAAATTAACACCAGCAAACATTTTTTCTCTTCTCTCTCTTAAAAATCTAGTTTTTGATAGAGAGAAAAAAAGGAAATAATTTAGCATTTACTCTTTGTTTTGTATTACACGTATCTATATACCTTTAGTACTAAGTTTGTTTTTCAATTGGAATTAAATACTATTAAATATATTCTAGACTTTAAGTTATTCTGGTTATGATATTTAAGAAAAGATCACAGTGCCATTTTTTTCACTTTTTTGTTTTTTTGTTTCGTGTTATTTATTTTAAATAAGTTTACATTTAAAAGTTTATGGCTTATAGCATTAACCACACGAACAGAAAACAAATAAGTGTACAGTTACAAGTTTCATACTTGCAACTGGATACTTCATACTTGCAACTGGATACTTGTAATCGAAAATAATTTATAAAAATAGGTTAAACAGATTTGCGGTCTTCCCAATATTGCAAAATTATCTAAAACTAACATTTTTATGATTAGAAAAATTCATAGGTTGAAACTTCTACGAAAAAAATGTTATGTGAACGGAATGGAAAAGTTACGTAGGCGAAAACTTTAACGGCTGGAAAAGTTACGAGCTGAAAATTATTTAAAATTGGAAAGTTATATAAGTGATCTTCCATAAATTACGCAACACTAAACTTATTTTAAAAATTGAAGTATTATTTATTTGCTCTTTCGCGCGTCGATTTTCATTGGACTTAAACGGCTATTCTTAGTTTTAGTTTAATTATAGACTCTGCGAGGGAAAACTTTTGTTCTTTTTTGTTGTCTATCTTCTTGAAAATTTACATGCTACAGATAAAAAGTTGCATAACTTGAAATTCTTAAAAATTGAGTTATTATAAATAGTAAAAGTAAGTTTTTTTTTATCTTTAAAATATAAAATTTTTTTACAATTTAAAAATCAATTAATTTTGAATTAAAGGACAAAAATAAAACTTTTGTTTTTTTTAATTTTTTTTTACATTTTTTCAACAATTCATCTGTTAATGTGTTTGAAATTTTGTAATAAAAAATAAATGAAAATTTAAATTGATTTTCCCTCAAAGATTCCGTTACTGTTCAAATAAATTAGATAACTGTCGCTAAGTGTTAATGGTTATATATTTACATTATATACATTTTTATATATATATATATATATATATATATATATATATATATATATATATATATATATATATATATATATATATATATATATATATATATATATATATATATATATATATATATATATATATATGTATATATATATATATATATATATATATATATATATATATATATTAAATTTGCGCGTTGCTGACTACTTTTCTTATTGACTTGTCTCGATGATCGTCCGTATTTTAATTGATGATTTTAAAAAAAAAAAAATTTGAAGAAATAATAGAATATTATTTTTAGTTTTTGATTTATTTATTGTACTGTATTCACCTGCAGAGCTATTTTCTTTTTTTTCTAAATTGTTGTTACAATTCTTTCTCACTCCTTTAACCCCAAAACTTGACTAATGAGGCGGCTGCGCGGAGTTTTGGATACGGTATTACCACGGTGGTATAAACTATTACATAAAATTTACTTTAATTTTTTGTAATTGAGAGTAACTTTAAAAACAACCTTTTGATTGATTTAAATTGTATAAGGGGTCGTCCATAAATTACGCAACTTTAAATTTATTTTTAAAAAAAGAAGTAGGAGATCTAAAGCTCTTTTACACGGTGACTTTCATGAAACTTGATGAGCTATTTTGATTTTTTATTCAACTTAAGGCTCTGCAAGGGAAAACTTTTGATCTTATTTGTTTTGCTTATGGGTGAAACTTAGCGTTGCGTAGTTTATGGATGATCCTGAAGGAAAAAAAGGTCTTAACTTTGTTTACGGACAGAACTTATTAAAATGTAAATTGATGATATTTACTGATGAGACTTATGAGTCAGTTTTTATGAGAAAGAGGCAAAATTGGCAACTTAAATTAGTTGAGTTCTAAATTTTCATAAATTTTTCGATGTTATATTTAATTTAAACATTGTACATATATAGTATAATAATCCCGGCATGTCCATTATTTTTCTTAAAATATTTATAATTCTTTATAGTGCATACTATTAATATATACTGGCCTAAGCAACCCGTAAAACAAATTATTTGTAAATGGTAATAACAATTCAACTTTATGTTAAATAACAATATTAACAATTTAACTTGATATTTTCCAAAATATAACACAAAATAAATTCATCTTTATATCTAATCTGTTTAGTATGCTCGCTTTTAGTATTATCTAGGCTTTTAGTTAACAACGATATTAATAAAAAACGACGATAATGATAAAAAGATAATAAAAAAATAAAAAAATTTCGAAATTTAAATTCAATAAAATAACACTTTATGAAAACAAAGGTGAAACCCTATTTTTTAAGCTTTTTTAAATAAACGATTAAGGTAAACAAATAAAAATGGTTGAAGTACAAACAAACAACAAAAACTAAATAAATGTAATCGCTTTAAAAGTAAAAGTAGCTCAACTTGTTGCTTGAAAAACCGCGACAACTTTAAAAACGTGTTTAGATTAAAAAAGCCGAGAGACTTACACGAGAAACTTAATCTATCAAAAAAATAAATAAATAAATAAAATAGATAATAATAAAAAAAACGAAAAAGTTTATTTTACAGAGTTAGGGAATCGTAACTAATAACTAACAATCGTAACTAAGCGCATCAAAAACGTTAACTGTAATGATAATAAATAGACTAGCTGACCGGACCCGTAGAATATGGATCTTTGTAAGTGTATTATGTACCGGCCTATTCTATACTTATTCCTTATATATTTTAGCTCTCCTGACCTGTAAAATACAGGTCTTTACCAAACCCGCCATTTCTATATTATGCTATTTCTTACCGATCATTTCTTTACTTATTCCTTATTTACTTCAATAATTTTTAGTTAAATAATTTATTCTAAAAAGTGTAAAAAAAATCAACATACGCACCTTTTCCGCATATCTAATGTTTATCGCATTAACGCATATCTAATGTTATTTATAAAATGGTTTGTTTTTCCTATCTTCGGTAACTAAATGGTGAAATGCGTTGTTATCAGTGTTCTTTCGGAGGGTTCAAATACTCCCCAAGTGTAATAATTTTTAATTAATCTTGAGGTTTATGTTTATCGCAGTATATATATATATATATATATATATATATATATATATATATATATATATATATATATATATATATATATATATATATATATATATATATATATATATATATATATATATATATACTGCTCTAAGACCTAAATTATTTTTAGGATTAGATTTAAAATCTGAGTTTTACGGTTTTAATGTTAAGCTGGCTTTACATTTATAGAAAAGACAACTTTTTTTACATTTTAGAAAATTAAAACAAAACAATTAGATGTGTATAAATCATTTCCAATTGTTTTCGCTATTATTTAACTTGACATTTACGATTTTATTGCGATGAAACATTTCTCAAAAATTTAACTTTTTGAGCAGTTCTGAAGCTCTTTTTTGGTTATACTTTTAGTCAAGTTTTTTCTAGACTTTTTAACTACAAAAAGTACATTTTGAAGGCGACCTTCATCTCTAGTTGCTGAATTAAAATCTTTAATGAGCCTAATGTTTTTTTCTGCACCGTCATTTACAAGAGATATGGTTTTTGATCCATACAATAAAATGAACTGCTCCATTGACTCCGCTTGTAATGCTTGCAGTTGTATCACAGCATATACCAATGATCTGCTTATTAAATCCGTAATATTTTAAAAGATTGTTCACTTGTTCTGATTGGCTAATTCCCTTTAAAGAAGAACATTGAACAACAACTAAAAAATGGTCTTCTATGATATCGTCATCTGGGGATCTCACAGAGATTGCAAGTCACTCAATTTTTTGAATGACGTTAAGGCCAGTGTTAATTTGTTCCAACAGTTAGGTATCAAAATGAAAAATACGCAGTTGGCCTTTAAGATGATTTATTATTGAAATTCACTTTAAGTCTCATTCAAGTTCTACATATTTGAACATTTTTTATAAAGTGTGCTTCGTTAAAACGGTATATCATTAATTTCTCTACCTCTAGCTTTAATTACTTCACTTAAAATTGCCAGATAAGGTCGTACACCAATATTGAACCTTGTTGCTAAAATAGCAATACATTCAATGAGCTTTTCAATATTCACTGCTGGATTTGTTTTTATAATATTTTTCTACCTATTTATAAATATATATTTTTCAATAAAACAGCTTTAGTTTGTGAAAATTGCAACTATGTTATTGAAATAATACTATACCTATGTTTCCGACTGTTATCCAGGAAATCTTCTTCCCCGTTGGAAAAGTCGTTAAAAAATTGGCAAAAGTAGTTAAAATGAAAACAATTTTTTTTAAATCACAAAATACATCACAAACTTCTACCTAACAAAAGAGAAAGTCAAGAGCATTAAATAAAAAATAATTATTTAACATTTAAAAGTCTTTGAAAAAAAATATTTTGCAACATGCTAGGGGCAAATTGGGGGAACAATAACATATGATGTAGACTTTATTTAATGTTTAGGCAAAGTTCACAAGTAAAAATTGGCCTTATATCTTTTTCTTCTTAACCAGCTCACGAAGAATGTGCTCAGCTGAGGCAATCACGACAAGTAACTCAACTATCAACACTAGTCGAGTAATTTTATCTTCCATTGAATTTTTCACCATTTTTCTTATTTTAGATGCAGTGTTTTTTTCATCTTCTTCAGCATTTTTGTTCGTCATTTTGATCCTTTTTCCTTTTTTTAGATGAATTTTGCTCTTTTTTACTCCGGGTGTCTAATAGCGAGGTTCTATACTGAGAAGAGATCAGGATTGCAGTTTTTCCTCCACTGCTTTGGTTTTGGAATGATAAACCTTGGAGATACATTTTGAAATGACGTGGTAATAAAATTGCTCGTAGAAGTGGTTAAAATGCTTGGAGAGGTTGATTGGCTTGTAGAAGCAATTGTATGGACGTTAAAAACATTCAGATTGCTGCTAAAGGCAGATATTTGGGTTGTAGGTACCATTGGTACAACCCAAATATCTAGGATGACTGGTACTAACAGATGATTAGCTGAGAAAAGCACAGAGGGGGCTAGTAGAAATCATGCCATATGTGCCAGCAACAGGGTTTGTTTCAATGATGTTATTATAAGTAGTTTCTGCTTCTAGATAGTCTGCTTTGGAGAAAGCTTTTCTATTATTGTATGCCTGCTTTCTACAAGCCGTTAATGACATTTGTCATTTTTGCAGCTTCCTGGTAGGCTGAGCCAAAAAGGGGCAGCTATTTAAATTAGATGATTACGCGCCCAGGATTTATTCTCAACCATTTTCTGATATTATGGTCAAAATAAGTTCAATAAGAGGCAAACATAGAAGAGTTACACCATTCTCTCTCTCGCAATGTTAATCAGTTCAATACTAAAAAAAGTAGAACTAAAGAGCTTATTTTGGCCCCTAAATATTGAACAAATTTTCTTAACAAAACAATAAACAATTCTTTTTGTATCCACCTGCTTGAATAACATTCAGCCCAGGCATCTGGTAGTGCTCCATCCATTAATTCTGCCTTCATTCGTTTACAAGAAAAGATCATCATGGGCGGCAAGTTCCTCCCACTAACTGAAGAGAAAATAACTGCTGTGACAAGCTGACTCCTATCGGCTTAAGTGAGAGAACCAACTTGTCTCTTCTCTTTGGTTGAAACAATTTTAGTGAGACACTTTGAAACAGTAGAAAATACCTCCTTCATCACAATTCCAGATATTTTCAAAAAATAGCTTGTTTGTATCTACAAG